GTTTGATCCTCAGACTTATCTTTCTCTGACGCTTTCCCAGTCATTCCTGTTTTACTATAGCGATCATTACCTCGTTGTTATCTTCTGCCCCGAAAGCTGCAAAATCTCCAACCGTTGATTTGAAGACGTTTTCCGACGCCGAACTTAGCAGCAGCACCCCTATACCTCTACTTAGCACTAAGGACGGAAATTTGATGAGTCAGTGGAACGCTCAGGTCCCCAGCCTGGTCAATCGCTGTGTGCATAAGCTTATTGCAGACCGCTGTGATAAACAGGCAGATGCTATAGCAGTCTATGCTTGGGATAGCGAAATCACTTATGCTTAGTTACATAAACTTTCTTCTTCCCTGGCAAGACATATCATTGCTTATAACTTTAGGGGGCCGGGGATCATCCCGCTTATATTTAAAAAGTCTATCTAGACTACCATAGCCCTACTCGGGGTAATGAAGGCAGGTGGCGCATTCCTTCTTATTAACCCGGCCCATCCTGTCTCGCGACTGCGAGAAATTTGTGCAATCGCAAGAGTAAAGCTCGTCATTACATCTTAACAACAGACCGACCTAGCCCGAAAACTCGTTCCGGATGTGATTACTCTAGGCGAGAATAAGCCTGCAATTATAAAAGCTAGTTTATATAGCAAATTGAGACCGGTCTCACCCGAGATTCCAGCATACTGCGTCTTCACCTCCGGTTCAACTAGCAAGCCTAAAGGTTTCTGCGTACAGCACGATACCTTTGCCACAATAGCTGCAACTGTTCCTGTGGCCATGGGTCTCAATGCCACTAGCCGGGTGTTCCAATTTGCTTCGTATGCCTTTGATGCTAGTGTTTTTGAATATCTTGCATGTCTTGTGATGGGTGGTACCCTATATATTCCCTTAGACTCTGCACGGTCTGACTCCGTTACCGATACTATCAACGAATTCTAAGCCAATTTCACGATTCTTACTCCATCGGTAGCCCGCATCTTATCACCGACTCAAATGCCTAGTCTCCGCACGCTAGTCATAACAGGAGAACCCATAAGGAAAGAAGATATTGATAAATAGTCTTCATACCTCCAGCTTGTCAACGGATATAGCCCGTCTGAGTGTGCTGTTTGCTGCTGTGTGTATTCCTCTGTGAACTCGACCACGGAGCTCGGGCAAATCGGTCGTCCCCTCGGCGCTTGTCTATAGCTAGTTAACCTAGATGACCTTGAGAAGATAGTTCCAGTCGGTGCCGTAGGTGAGATCTTGATCGAAGGTCATACCGTAGGCAAAGGTTATCTATCTGATCGAGATCAGACCACTACGGCTTTTGTTGATGCTCCTAAATAGCTAGCAGAATTCCGCTTAGGCATATCGAGGCAAGTGTACAAGTCTGGTGACTTGGCAGAATATCGGCCCGACGGGACATTACGATTGCTTGGAAGAAAGGATTCTTAAGTCAAGATCCGTGGGCAAAGGGTCGAATTGGTAGACGTGGAGCAAAAGCTCAGGATATTTTATCCTTAAAGCACAGAAGTCGTCGTGGAAGCTATCGACACGAATCGCACCCTAATACTCATTGCTTTTGTATCTCACTAAAGCTCAGCCGACACTAGTGACGATAGCGATTTCCTTCGCCCACCAGATGCCTTATTCTACGCGGAGTCTCAGGCGGCATACAACACATTAGCTAAGTCATCCCTAAATTATATAATCCCTTCTATCTTTTTCCCTCTTGCATACCTTCCCACAATTATTACCGGCAAGGTCGACCGCAGGCGTCTGAGGATTCGAGCTGAGGCATTATCACTATTAGATCGGGCCAAGTACAAAAACCCATCTGCTACCTTCGATTGCTTATACACCCTTGCTTCCCCGATATAAGACGCTCTTAAGGGGCTATAGGCTCAAGTGCTCAGTATCGCGCCAGACATAATTAGACCAAAGCATAACTTTTTGGAGCTTGGAGGATCTTCTATCGATGCAATGAAGCTGGCGGCGCTTTGTCAGAAGGAAGGCTTTGCAATTCGCGTTGTATCTATTCTTGCTTATTCGGGTCTCCAAGAAATGTCTTCAGTCATCGAAAACCACCGGGACTAAATTGTATCCCCGCTGCCTTCATACAAGCTTAACCACAACCTACACGATACGTTAATTCGCGATCGGTTGATTAGCGAGATAGATATGATTGATGTTTTCCGCACCACAGAATTCCAGAGATAGAACCTCGAGCAGCCCTGTGATTATCTTACAATCGAGCTACCGGCGGATGTTGATATCAAACGCCTTGAAGACGTATAGAGAAAGGTGATCGCAAGGTATGCCGCTCTGCGAACGGTTTTTATCCTATATCAAAACTAAATACTCTAAGTGGTGCTGAAGGGCTGGAAAGACAGAATAGAATTCATAGATATACAGGAAGAAATTCCTCCTGTTATTGAGGGTTTGATTCGCGAAAAGTGCAGGCAGTTTCCGCCTTCTAGGACGTTCTACTTTTATCTCACATTTTTATCTAGCCCGACGTCTCGGGTCCTCTTGGTCAGGATCAACTATGCCCAGTACGATAGAATCTCACTAGGAATTTTGTACAACGACTTTATGTCTGCATACTCCGGTCGAGAGCTTGCAGTGTCAGAGGACTTTTCGGATTATATACGCGTTCGATATACCCAAAGTACGCTAGAAGCGTTCGACTACTGGAGAAAAGCCCTCGACAATGCCACTATAACGGTTTTGAGCCAGTCTCAACCAACATTGCAACGAGATATTGTTATCTACGCGGAGGACTTAGCCCGGCTATTACCTCCTAAAGGAATCACGCTCGCCACTTTGCTCACATCTGCATAGGCTTAGACACTCGCAGCATCCACTAGCTAGTCAGACATCGTATTCGGCTACGTGTCCAGTGGCCGCGACGTCCCTATGGATAACGCGGCCCATTTTGTCGGGTTAGCCGTCACCACGGTACCTATGCGCCTTACTTTGCAGCGATCCTGGACAATTTCGGATTTATTAGGGGAAGTGCAGAATAAGCGGATTCTTACCGCTCCATATAAAGTGATCGACTTTAAGGACATTGTCTCGCAAAGTATATCTTGGCCCGCTGGCACACAAATCGGCAGCGTCTTTTCTTATAAAGACTTCGGGGAGGTTCCCGAAATCTCATTAGATGGGGTCCATTGCTTAACAAAATTCCACTTCTAAAAGACTCCGACCGTGCCTTACGCGTTAGTCTCGCCTAAAGACGGGATAATCGGAGTGAGGGTTGCGGGCCGCACCGATTTCCTTTCTCGGGCACAAGCTATACGGCTTTGCGGAATGATCTGCACTACTGCGAAATATTTCTCCCTGTTCCACGAGCGCCACCTCCTATAGGAGCAGTTTTCTAAATCTTGTACCTAGAGAATTCTAGTTGCGGAACGAGTATGTCAAGGTGCTCCTACTTAATCGATCGTGTAGTTTTTCCCCTAACTCCACTCTTTGGACTTTGAAAATTGCCCTAAAACCTTACTTCGCGGTGAAGAATGATAGATCAGTCACACGTGTCCTAGTCATATTTGAAAATTCCTGGGTCCTATTACATACAATGCCTGTCCCTTACAGGAACATTATCCCTTCACTAAGCAATAGTGTCTTCTAGAATACGCCACCTTAATAATTATATCTAATAGGAGGTTTCCAGGCTTGCATAATAGAACTTCATTCACAAGCGTGCATAAGCTATAAGTGTCCTTCTAAGGTAGCTAAAGATATGTGAACACTAAGCGATTTGATAGATCTGGTCGCAGGGACTATCGACGCAGAGAAATCCACTCCCTTACTTAGAAACTTGGAAAAAGCAAAAAAAAAGAAAAGAAAAAAGAAGAAGAAGAAGAAGACACGCACAATGCAATAGGAAGAGCAAAAATGAAGTGCTGAACAATATGCAAGGGCAACGGCCAGCTCAGCCAGCTAAGTGAATAAGCCTGTAGCAAGTATCCATGCAAATAGATCTCTACATCGGTGTATACAGTTCATGCTTTGCGATCAGTCAACCTGTGGCTAAGCCAACCATTAGGTTTGTGCACAGTGACTCCAAGTCCTATCGACTCTACCCCTTTAGCTGCCAAGATATAGTAGTTGCAGAGAACCTTATATATAAAAATTTTCATAGATTGCATTAGGAGGCCTAGCTAAATATGTAAAGCAATTCGACGGAATACTAAACATACTAGACCATCATTTAACCTTGCGCCTAGTGCTTAAAGCTAACGGTTGCGATCTTCTCTCACTTTCAATTGTGTTAACACTCTGTCACACAAAGCAAACTCCAAAGCCGTTACTTCAACTATATTCGACGTAAAGTTACCTCTTAAACAAGAAACTACATCGCCTTACTTAGAGCAAGCATTACAGTCATAGGATAAGGTCAATAAGCTCCAAGCTGGAGGAAAGGTCCTCTTGGATAGCGAGAATCTCGATATTGCGAGCGTGATTGCTGTTGCTAGGTATGTATCTGACCGCCGGATCTTCAGAAAAGTGCTAACAAGGAAAAAAAAAAAAAAGGCACCATTCCCAGGCCACTGTTAGTCCCAATAGTAATATTGCCCGGCGCGTTGAGTCTAGGGTAAATTAGCTACAGGAGTATCTCGCCAATAGCTATCAGGTCTACGGTATGTTAGCATAAAGTTACCTTCAATGTATAGTGAATTGATAGAATTCTTAACAGGAGTTACTACGGGATTTAGTGGTAGCGCCGATTCCCGCACTTTGGACTTTCATAGACTGCAAGCTGCTTTGTTGCAGTTAACTCAGACTAGGGTCTTGTCAGAATCTGACTTAGACCCAGCGAAAGCAAACTATGACATCGGTTTCCACAGTATACCTGTATCGTAGGTACGCGCCATAATCGTGGTACGATGTAATCATCTCCTTCGTGGTCATTCCGGTGTTCGGTTCGAGATCATTGCCTACCTGCTTAGACTACTCGACCTCGGGATAACCCCTGTAGTCCCGTTGCGAGGCTTAATCTCTGCCTCGGGAGATTTGATGCCGTTGGCATACATCGCTGGAATCCTGGAAGGTAACCCCGATATCAAGGTTCACTGGGAAAGAGAAAAGAACGGAAAGACAGTTGTCATTAGCGCTGCGGAAGCTCTGGATGTTGCTAGACTTAAGCCGATTGTTTTGGGACCCAAGGAAGGGTTAGGTCTTCTCAATGGTGCTGCTGCGTCCGCAGCAGTAGCAAGCATAGCCATATATAACACCAACCAGCTGGCTATCCTCTGCCAGTCCATTGTAGGTATATCATACGAGGCGCTCCTAAGGAATACAGAGAACTACTATCACTTTGTTGCCGCCATTCGCCCCCACAGCGGCCAGCTCGAAATTACTCGGAACATTCGTCATTTCGTGCGTGGTTCGTCCCTACTAGAGACGTCCGAGACCAAGAATCGCACCTGTACCGGTTTGTTTCAGGACCGTTACGCGCTCCGAGGTGCATCGCAATAGATAGGCCCGGGGCTAGAGGACCTCCTTCTTAGCATTAAGCAGCTAAGCACGGAATTGAACTCTACCCAGGACAATCCAGTGATTGACACACAATCTGGCGAAGTCTATTCGGGATACAACTTCTAAGCTGCTTTAGTGACAACCGCGATAGAAAAGACACGCCTAGCTCTGCAAATGATAGGAAAGATGCTCTTTAGCGTCTTATCCGAGCTAATTAATCCTGATTTAAATCGCGGGCTGCCTTCCAACTTATTAGCAGACAACCCCAATCTTTCATTCACTATAAAGGGTGTCGACATCAACATAGCTGCCTATATATCCGAACTCGCGTTTCTGGCCAATCCAGTCTCATCGCATATGCAATTAGCAGAGATGAATAACTAGCCTATCAATTCACTTGTATTCATTTCGGCAAGATATACTATACAAGCGGTAGAGGTGCTGTCTCTCATAAGTACAGCTCACCTCTATATTGCCTGCCAAGCGCTGGATCTCCGTATTTTGAACGTCACTTTCTAAGATGCCTTAGACAAAGAGATTCGAATTGCTACTCGGGAAGTTCTCAACAAGCTAGCCGAGGAGCCTCTTGTATCCCTCCAAGCTAAGCTGATCAAGACAGCTCGGGATATATAGGTAAACTCCGTAAGAGAAACCCTTCACTTGCGTGCGCAGCTTATCGCGAACGCCATAGCACCTCCCGCAATAGACATACTTAGCCAGTATAGGCCTTCATCGACGCATCATACGGATTCACTTTCAGCAATCAGTGATATGATGGCGCGTGTTAGGTCTAGTTGTATATCTCTATTCGAGAGCATACGCGAAAACGCCTTTTCTGAACCACAGACCGAGAGATACCTTAGGGATAGGGCCAAACTGCTGTATCAATTTGTCCGAAACGAACTCAAAGTACCCTTCTATAGAGGCCTGGTTGAACATCCTACTGTGAAATCTAGATCCGGACTTAATCGTAAGCGCAAAACTATCGGATCCTGGATTTCTATTATCTACGCGGCAATTCGCAGCGGGCAGATTACGGGTTTATTAATAGAAATAGCGAACTGCTTCGAGTGTCGCAATTATAACAGGCAGAAGAACGGGTTGAACGGAAACTATATCACGTGTGACGTGGATACGGTTATCTAGAATAGAGTAAACCTGATTATATCCCTTAAATTGTCTACAATTTATTCTTTGTTCAGCATAAACTCAATTTTCTATTCCTGCCTCTTTTGCTCTTCTATCCGTCTTACTTCGTATTAGTAGGGCCGACAATTCTGTAATCCTCCCACCTATTAGTTTCTTCCTCCTTTCTAATCAGTACCCACGTTAGCGATGCAACCTTTCCAGTGAGAAGAGAAGTTTGGACACCTCACATTATCCCCTTGCCTTTATATCTTCCCTTCAGTATCCTTGTTCGCTAGGTTTGTGTCAGATATATATCTAGGACAGATGGTGACATTAAGCGGCAACGAATCTCCACTACTATTACTACTAGTTGCATAATAGAACGTATCTAATAGATCTGTAGAAAGTATGTCCATCGCAGCTGTCTGCCCTATCAGATCCATAGAACTACTAGCTAGCTATTCATAAATATAACATGATGCGGCCTAACGGAAAATGTGACAAACCATAGTGTGATCAAGGAGAATGTATACCTCTCTCCCCCTTACTTTGTGGTGCAATAATGCGAACAATACGTATTCTCGAATTTGATTTAGAAAGACTCCGGTGTTTACCGATGCTACCAAAGATATATAACAGACGCCCTCAGTATTCTTTTAACTTTGGAAACGCTCTGAGGAGCACACTGCAAATCTCTCTGTTATCCCAAAAATAGACATACCAGACAACAGAGTCTTCACACTAGCGAGCAGTTTCCCGGAACGTGTGGCAGTTCAGGTATTCTTGATTGCAATCGCCTTCTTGGTTCTCTAGAAACATATCTAGCTTCGCAAACTTCTGAATTCCGTTATCTCAACGCCTATCAATGTACTTCACCCAAACAGATTGTATTGGAAACAAGACTAACGGAGCTAGAAGTAGGTCTACCTTTGCTGGAAATACCCGATCCAGTCATCGGACCGATCGGTGGATATACCTACCTGCCCATTTCGGTTCCCGAATAGGCAAGGCAATATAAAGTTTTCTGAGGGTCGGGCGAGGTCTCGAGAATAGGGGAGTGAATTTGGCTATATCTATCGTATCTGGGCAGGGAGTACTCCTGAGGTATACGTGAATATTCTGATAGTGTATAAAGGAAGGTGCTAACAGATTTCAGGGTACTTACTAAGCATGATCAGATACCCGCTGTCTTCAAAGACTCTTATTTGCACATAAAGTCAACGAATTTTGATGCGGGATAGCTATTCGGCGAACTCGTTGGTAAAGCGTTGGGTCTACTTAATAGCGGGGATTAGAATCGTGTGCGAAATATCTTTGCGCTGCTGTTCTATCAGGCCAAGGTAGTCAACTTCCTGCTAGTAATAGAGCGACGGGTGCAGCAATGCCTTTAGGAGCTACACGAGAATCCTAAGATTCACCGCAACGGTACTCTTATCCTAAAGCCTGCGGAGGACCTTCGCCTCGTGTCATTTTGGGTTCTCTGCGATATCCTATACGGAGCTATAAGTCCGGAGATAGAAGCTCAGTTGCTCGAAATTGTTGAAATCCGGGAGAAGGTGTGGGCGGGTATTACCGCTGGGGGTTTAGCCCGCCTATCAATCGGACGTTTCCTGCTAACTCCAACGAAATATACCCTGAGAACTTTTCGGGCTATATAGGCTGGTTTCAATCGTCAGGCCGCCGACCGAGCTCGTAGCTTGTTCGACGGGCTCCTACCAATCTGCGACTTCTTCTCAGCCGTAGACTCTGGCAAGCTCTCTAAGCATAAGATACTGGATACTATAGATGAGATACTCTTCGCAAACCTTGACGTCACTATCGGCAGTCTGTCGTGGGTGCTCGTTTTTTTAGCTACTTACACTAACGTGCAAACGGATTTGCGACGAGAAATTGTGGAGAATAAGTCTCGAGCTTCTCCGGCTGTCTAGGACGAGTATATCTCTCAATCCTCTACACTACTAATGGCTTGTCTTCTGGAATCTGCTCGGCTATAGCCTATCGCATCTTTCTCTAGGGCACAAAGTCCCCCGTCGGACTGTCAGGTGGACTAGTATATTATTCTAGCCGGAACTAATGTCACAGTTAACATTCATGCTTTGAACAACGACGACCAAGCCTAGGGAGATAATCGCTACTAGTTTAATCCACGACGTTTTTTACAAGCAAAGAATCCGTCCGAGTTCCGTTATCGACTTTGGCGCTTTGGATTTGGCCCCCGGCAATGTCTAGGGAAATATCTCGCCGACCTGTTTCTGAAAACCTTGCTTTCGTATATCCTTGAGAATTACTCGATTCAGATGAAGGACTCGTCCTAGCGGTCGATAGACGATTTTAAGGGTAACTCGAATGCGTGGATCAATCTTGCTGCGGAGGACGTTGTGTAGGTAAAGATCACTAACTCGGAGTAAAGATCGATAACAAATCATTCTGGAGTCGACGATTCTTCTGTAACTAATATCCTAAAACTATGCTTCTTATGGGAATTTTCTATGAAATCAGGAAACAAAAAGAGGATCGAGAACAATAACTCTAGGAAAGATGATGATGAGGTATAAAATAAATAGTACTGAAGAGGAAATCTTACTTCTATTCGATTTTTGTTCTCAAATATTTGATAGCAAAAAAAAAGACAAGTATTATTCTATATCTCTAGTTCTATGATTTGGTGATTCCTAAGGCTTGTTTTAGGCCTGTGAAATCATTTGCTCGATATAATCCTTCCTCAGGAATATTTTGGGGGACGTAGTCCTTCCCTAATAAGAATGCCTCTCTCACTTTGGGAAACTCCTCATATGTTGAAGATTGGCAGTTATGTCCGAGGATCTAGGTGGGTCGAGGAGTTTTGATCAAGTTTGGATTTTTCTTGATTGCTTCCTAGTCAGGACGATGCCACGAATCGTGGTTCTCCTTTCCTCCAGATTAGATGATAGTAGCCCGTTGATATCTGCGCTTGATTATTAGCTATCGAGATCATACAGGAGGAAATGTGCTTGATCAAAGGCAACCCTGAGAGCTAAGTCCCTTACCTTATTTTTTCTGCAATTTTGAGCCCGAGAGGCACGTTGTCCTTTATAGCTAACTCCAAAGTGATAGCTAGTACAGCAGTATCTTCTATGGCCTGGCTGGCCCCCTAACCAGCTATAGGGAGATAAGGATGGGCAGTATCACCGGTCAGAATGATGCGACCTAGCGGCGACAGCCAGGTATCTAAGGGGGGTCTTGTGAGAATGGGAAAATTAATCGCCTTCCTAGCTGGCGTATGCTGTATGATAGGGGCAATCTTGTCCCGGCAAGGCCAATCCTGGATTTTGTCTACCACGTGCTGCACGTTGGCCGGAACTGTCTAGGACTCACGAGCGTCGCCGTCGGGATCAGGGTAAGTGAAGATCCATATAATAGCCTTTCCCCGTTTGACGGTACATATAGTGATCTCGCTGTCTTTGCCTACAAAAGCCGATGCCTAATCACTTTTACTAGCGCCTTTAAGGAGCTAATATACTGCAGGGTCTGAGAGGATCTCGCTAACGTTAAAGTAAGCCCGAAAAGCTGCGTAGCCTAAGGACACAGGTACCGGATCGCCGCCTGTCACAAAACCTCTGGCCTTGCTATAGAGGCCGTCGCTAGCAATAACACAGTCTGCGGCCACTTTACTACCATCGACAATTATACCAGCATTAGAATCCGTCTCCCAATAGTCGGTGACTTTAGCATTAAATCGCACCTCGACTCCAATGTCTCTTGCATACTCGTAAAGTATATTCGCCAGGTCGCACCTGTTCAAAAAGTAGCTATCGCCGCGGCGGAATCTAGTTATTTTATTCGTGACAATAAATTTCCTAGCTTAGTCATAGATATCCATAGCTCGAATATAGCTGATTTGAGCTTCAAGTAGCTTATAGACGCGTCCGTTTCCCCACTTAGCCAAAATCCGAGCGGCATTACTTCCAATACCTATACAGTCTCCTGATATAACATAAGCCTAATATTCTTAGACTAATTATAAGTCGGCTCACCTTAAAGGCGTAGTGCTGAAGCCTTTTCGAATACTGTGACTGAATATCCTTTGCGATGACACTCGATAGCGGCGGCTAATCCTCTAATCCTAAGTCCGATAATAATGATATTGATTCCACTTGATCGCGGCTCCGCAATAGCGGCTGGCCCCTGGTTCGATGGAATTGATGGAATTGTTATAATGAATGGTAGTGAAGAGGTTGAGTTAGCAACGAGGGCGCAATAAAAGGAGTAGAAAGAACCCTAGTATAGTGCGTATGATGTATTCCCTTCATTCCATCGGAACGGAAATTGACAAATTAATACAAGGGTTAACGCTAGAAGCCAAATTTTTATGTTCCAATGTATATAATGAGTAGAGACCTACTCCTTGGCCCTTACTTCAAACAGTACAGAGATACAGACATTTCTTCTAAAAGGTCCTGCGGCGGAGCCAGGTCAACGCGTTATCTTTTTCTCTTATCTTACAGCCGGTGCCTCGTTATCAAAACCCGGATGACATTCTTACAGTCACTAGCGAACTCAAAATTTATAGCTAAGGGTACCTGAGATTACCTATCTTGCGCAATGCGCCGTAGTATTAAACAAATATAACCGTAGACATCAGTGAATCCACGTAGTTAGTCCTTTGAAAGTCACGAATCTCGGGTTTAATATTAAGCTATAGTTTAGAAGCCTGCTAACCCTCTGAGGACTTTGTGCTGATTATACATCTGTCACAGTCTATACCTGTTCTCGTTAACTTAGACTTATTTACAGGGTGCGTAGAATTGCAACATTGAACTGGATTGATCGATAGTATAATCTTACGGATCAACGTATATTCTTCAAACTGATTTTCAGTCGCAATTTTTGAAGGACAAAGGTAGATTTGACAAAAGAATAAGAGTCACCGTCTTGCATATACTATACTGTATAAGCCACGTTTTGGCGTAACTATTACAATACCAACAAAGGCCCTTTTAGCAGCCAACCGAGTCTATTATTCTGAACTCTGAACGCTAAAGTTCCCGAAATATATTTAATAACTCCAATCACACACTTCGTTTACCTATCTAGTCCTGACTACGGTCGGAGTCGAAAACAGATTCCCCTTTGTGCATCTGCGAAATTGTTTCTCGGATCCTACTTTGAAATACCCTAATCCTTATTAGGCTAGCGGTAGAACACTTCTTAATATTAAGAATACTATAGAACCCTTGTTTTTACAGGACGAAGGTACCGCGTAAAATATAGTATTCGTACACAGTACATATTTACTAGCGACCTCCCTCTCCCTCCTACGAAGTTGTGGATCTCCTTAGGCTATATACTTTTCTTCTCGCTGTGATTGAGAATCGCGAAAAGGACCCTCGCGATATAGCACCCAGACTTCCTATTCCAAAGCTACACTTTATTCGTGATACGATACAGAGCTAGTCACTAACCACGTCTTAAATAGCTAATACAGCGGAATACAGCGACTGTACAATCAAGAATATTCGCAGGAACTTACGGCTCTTTGGAAGCGTGCAGGCCCCCTCAAATCGAATTAGCCGGAGACGAAGTATAACGCCGATGCTTGAATCGCTTTGCGAATATCTACTCGAAAAGCCCGGTCTTTACCTTAATAAGATAGTCGTGTTTCTATGGGATGAGTTTCATACCTTAGCAACCACTTCTAGTATCAGGAGGGCCCTCGCTTCTAAAGGTTGGTCCAAAAAGACCGCTCGAGAGAGGGCTAAAGAACAAAGTGCCGATCTGCGAGAGTTATATCTTCACAATTTGTCGGACTTTCAGTTATACCACCTAGTTTACGTCGATGAATCTGGATATAATAAATGAATCAGGTTCAGACGGACAGGCTAGTCACCCCTTAGCGTGGCTCCTGTGTAAGTCTCACAATGTCACCGTAACGAGCGGTATCAGATATTGCCTGTATATACCTAAGATGGAATTGTTCTTTCTCGTGTCTTTCGTAGCGCTACGGACGCCACTTTGTTTGAGGACTTTGTCGATGAGCTTCTTCATCATTGTGGAAGATAGCCAGAGCCGAAATCTGTACTAGTCATGGATAATGCGTCGTTCCACTACACTAAGCGGATCGGGCAGCTATGTGCAGCCGCGGGAGTAAAACTGGTTTATCTGCTACCCTATTCGCCTAACCTAAACCCTATTAACGAGTTCTTCGCCGAACTTAAGGGCTTTATCAGACGCAACTAGAGCTACTTCGAAGAAGATCCCGATCGAGGCTTTGACTCTTTTCTCGAATAGTGTATTGATAAGGTTGGTGCAAAAGAAGCAAGTGCTAGAGGCTATTTTCGCCACGCCGGTGTAACGGTAGAAGAAGGGCTGTAATTTCCGTTATTCCAGGTCAAAAATGAACTTCACTAGGCTTAGTTACTTAGTGAATTTAGGGGATTTCTACTAAAAGAACTAGAAATAGAATAGCTCTTGGCCTGTACAGATTTACCGTCGATGAACGTTCGAGCGGTGGGAGAGAAAAGGCTAAGGGATAAATTCTGTGTTCTGCTGTCTTTGACAAGTTCCAAGATGCTTGCTACTGAACGGTTATCTAATATCTGGTTACAGTCGATTGCAAACTCGGCGTCACTAATCTATATCCGTCACTTAATTGTGGGTCTTACTGCTAAGACTTTAGTCTCAAAAAGAGTGCTGTTTAGTTAGGTATGGTGTGTACTGTTTTTCTCCGCTGGCATAGAACCTCCCTGTTGTGATATAAGGCAGTTGCTGCTCAGGAACGAAGCCGCAACATCGGAAATAATTCCTGTCTATCTATACGAAGACCAAGTTGATTTCCAATCAACTTGGACGTTATATTGTATATATAGCCTCTTATATCCCCTCAGAAATAAGGAGAAGTAAGCTTCCTTTTGCATTACAACAAAAAGTAAATTAAATCGTTAGGCGAACTTATTTCACCCGGTCCTGAGGAAAGTACAAATAGATATTTATAAATAAATTCTTAGGCAAATTAATATTATCGCACCAAGGATATTGATTTAGTGGTATAACATTAACATAAAGATAAGGTTGTTAACCTCCCGTTAAGCCGTAGACCCGCAAGATATCCCAAATACGTTAACCCGTCTTCTCTAACATCCAATTCCTCCATATCCCGAAGGACCTTCTCAATATAATCGCCTGCGCCGCTTAGTTTCATAATAAGCGTAATAGCACGATAGACATCGAGTAGCCGGCGGATAGCGGGTCTATTGTCCGATAAGGGCTAAGGAGCAGCGCGAGAGCGACGGGGAATATATACTATAGTTCATCATACCTCACAGGCAATATCACATCTCGCGAAGAATACATTTAGCACGCAATTAATTTGTAATACCCGTGTAGTCCCTCAGAAGCCTATTTGCCTGGTCTCCGCTCCAGCCTCTCGAGAGACCATATATAACGTGATTATGCTGTGTAACTGCATCTGTGGAGTAGCTATACATTTCGATCCATTAGCTACCACACTGCCAAGGTTGCGAAGCCGTGAAGACCAATCCACTCCACATAATACAGGACGTTGCACAAATTATTTGTGAGCTATCTTCGATTGACTTGTAAGTGCAGGGGATCCATTCTGGGTTAACCAAGATCTTGCGTCCCGTCCCCTACTTAGATAATAGTGGAAGTTCAAGCCCGAGGCAAATTATATCTATGTCTATAAATGCCTAGTGAAGATAAAATGAATTTCAGTGTGGCTGGCTAGAGAACCATAGACACCCGCCCCCCACTCTATACACCGCTAGACTACTGGTTAGCTTCTTTACCAACCTTTTCTTCTATTGGTATTTGTTCTAACTTCTAGCATAAACCGATTCCCTCAGTAAATTGGGATATCATAGTAAGTTCAGTGACACACTAGTCCCAATGTTGAAAAGCCAGCACTATTGTAACCATTAAAGAGTTATAGGAGCTCAATCCTAGTATAGTATCGTGTTAGTAGCGGTATAATCTGTAGTACATATCACGCTTCTATCCTTAAGAGGTTTTGCTTATTGTGGAGCATCACTTCGTATATATTGCGTCCTGCATTCGGCTATAGAACTCGTTATGCAGACATTTACGTATGCTTTTTGAGTGGCAACTGTTCGATTAGTTGTTGCTCGCTACTAGTCTTGTCTAGACTCCGTCAGGAGATATAAATGTTTTTGAGGGAAAGACTATATAAACCCCTTCATCTCCCGACTGTCTCTAGTTCATCATTTTCAATCAATCATCAATTCTAAACAAACATCTTATTCATCATGTCAGGAGCTTCCATCGACGCTGGATACATAGAGTCTTCCAACGGTCAAGGCTATGTCTTCAAAGGAGATCGCTATGTCAGCATTAAGGTCATTCCCGGCACAACCATCGACCAGATCATCTAGGGCCCGAAGGCATACGCGGAGTCTTAGAAGTCGCTAGTCCAAGCCGGATTCACTATAGTTGACGCGGTTATCCCAATTCCCGACAACACAGGCTTAATCTGGGTCTTCAGTAGCGTTAAATACGCTCGTATCAATTTCAAAGATAACAAGGTTACCTTCGGCCCTGTACCTCTCACCGGCAATTAGCCCTCGCTTGATAAGGCTGGATTCCCTACTATCGATGCGATCTTACCCACCCCGGGAGAGCCCAACTATACGTACGTCTTCTACAAGGATCAGTATACGCGCGTCACCCTGACTCCCGGCAAGGCTGAAAGCTCTATTGTTTTTAGCCCTACCCCTATTGCTAAGGGTTAGCCGGCCCTTGTCAGCGCAGGAATTCACCGCCTTAATACGGTGATTCCTGCTCCGGGCTTCCTAAATAATGCGTACTTCTTCCTAGGAGATAAGTACGCTCGTCTTACTATTAAGCCGGGTACGGTCCAGGACAAGGTTGTATTTAGACCTACTTCGGTTGTGAGGCACTAGCCTGCTCTTAAGGGTCTCTAATTACGGTAGTATAGACTACTATATTTGAAGGGGCTGAATATTTGAAGGATAACCGCTGTAACATTCGCTGAGTGGTCTTTCCAAGTTGCAAGGCGGGTTTCGGGGACTTTGAAGCCTGATGTTAAGACGCGGTCAGACGAAGAGTTTAGTGTTAATCCAACTTTGACGCTAGCTATAAGCAAAGAAGTATATAAAAGATTGGAATGAATCATAACGTTTCTATAAAAACAAAGTTCAACAGTTGACCTTGGAAAGGTCTTCGCAGTTATAATGTTCCTGTTATAAGGCTATTCACATATTAATGCCTTAGTCTGCAATTAGTGAGTCGGATCACCATGTCTCGTTCAAGCTAGTTAGATAAGTTAACTAGGCCCTATTACATAACTAATTCTGGCGGATATACAGTATTTCCTTTCTCCGGTATCCACCTACACACTCCTAGTTCTGGTGTTTACCTGTTTTGCATCACTATGGAAAAATTGGAAAAATCTAGTTCTTCGGATCCCCAATACAGTTACCAGACAAAGTATCGTAGTTTAATCAGAGCCAGTTTTAGTATTAAGTTTGATACAGGAATATTGATATTCTAGACTTACTCCTAATATAGACCAGTGTATCCTAGCGGTGGGGTTAGAGAATCATTGAAGAGTATAGGATATTGCACTAGTTTCGGGACGCACTGTACATAGCAACGTACTGTACTATTTGGAGTCGAAGCCATAGTGAGCCCTTAGCCTCCAGACCCTAGGGCAGGCAGGAAGCCTTTCCTACCTCTCCGCCGACCGTCCTCTATCTCTAAATCCGCGCTCCCCCCACACCACCCGAGCCACCTACCCCACAACGCACCACTCAAGAGAAATTTTTTATCTCGACCACCTATTCCACCATCGCGGCCAGAGCTCTATCATTCCAAGGACAAGTGCTTAGCGGCGTCACCCTGCTACAGCTAGCCAAGAATAGCTTTCACTACCAGCCTTTCTCAAGTAGCGGCCTGGCTAGCTGCTTTGCGTATTAGTCAGCCAGACGCCTAGTTAGCCTCCAGCGCGTACCTTCCCAAGAGTTACAGCAACTACACAGAGCAGATTGCATATAGAAAGTCATTTCCAGTGACCTAAAATATCATCTCGACTCCGCCGACTCGCTCTCCTCTTCCACCGACATAACCCCTCTGCCCTACCAGCCAGCCCCTAGCCCCTTTCTTTCCTTGCAGAGCGAACAACCCAAGAAGACGACGACCGACGCTAGTACCCAAACACAATCCAAACCAGCACAAATCGTCCTTTCCACCGCCGAGGAATTATCTAATAGCTCCCGTGCTCGCTCGCTATCTACACCGACCAACCCAGAATCACGTTTACCTCTACCAACCCTCTCGCCTCAGCCTCCCTATCCGTTACCCCCCACAACTACTCTACCCCTAAGCTATCCACCAACCTATATATCGGTCCTCCAGCAGCCCACCACGAATTCACCACAGCCGATTCTTAAGACCCAAGAACCTGTTCCTTCCACTAGACCCATACTCACAATAGAAGATTTTCACCGCCGGTTTCACAACAAACCATCACCGTTCCAGCTTAAGCCCAAGACAAGGAAACGCTCAGCTAGCTATAATCGCAACAAACCCGTGTCTGCAACAAAGTCATTATCCAGATTTCTGACGTCAGCATTGCCCGCATTCTCGCGCTTCCTTGCAGAGATACAATCAAATTCGAACAATACCACAAGGTTATAGCAGGCCCCAACAAGGCTCCAAGATCGTTTAAGAAGTGGTACACGATATATATACGTATATTGATATATAGTTGTTGTATACTGAATATAGCTTAGCGAGGGGTTAGCGTAAATAAAATACACACACACATTAGTGCGGGTCTCTAGGTCGACTGAAGCGCCTCTAGTATCGCCCGGAGTATCCCTTAGATCGATGTCAGGGATATACAAGAGCTTACATTGCACTTCCATCAGCTCCAGGAACATATAAGCCAGTCCTAGGAGCTTTTTTGCTCCTAGAACCTCTAGGACAGTTCCTAGAGGCAGGCGCAGGTCCCTCGGGGATCGAGCGTGAGTGTCTCTAAGATCGGACGATTTCCTTGTCTCCTTTTCTTGCGGTCTCTAGAGCCCTTATTTTAACAGAAGCAACTGCTATAAGGCAAAGACAGTTAGGATATACTGTCAATTCGGAGCAATACTAATTTGAGATTCACTTTCCTGTCTGACCTATCTCTAAAACACGAGGAAATATCAATGCATATCGGGGATAGAGATAGGAGGAATGACATCACTAAACCTTATTAGTGGTGATCAGTGGGGCATAGTGGCGATTCGGGACTCCTAACCAAAAATAGACTAGATACCCTCAAAATGCAAGGGTATAATACTGAACAAAGCGACTGCGCGGTATACTATGTCGGCCAATTCTACAGGACTGCTCCGGTAGAGATCATATCAGGCTAACGCAGGCCTCCTCAAAAACCGCTAGTTCGGAAAACAACCGGCTCGACAGAGCTGAGCGTTGAAGTCGGCATATCAAAAGATAAGGCACATGATCTGCTATAGCTAAGATACTGCCTGTAGCTTAAATTATGTATTAGTGAGAACGATACTGTAGTTAACAGTAGCATGATTGACTTTAGTTAACTCAATTTTTTTGTGGGCGACAGGACGTGGGAAAGATGAGGAGATACGCTGATCTACTAGATAAGATATACCGCCGATCAGAAAACTATATAGCTTCGCTAGAATTTCCACAATGCCGAAAACTGCGATCTAAATAACAGGCAATCACGAGCTATACGCGTACATTAGTTAATGTTCTCAGTTGATGTAGGACAGTGACTCCCACAAGAATAACGACTGGCACAAATATACTGCACTCACTGCCGCTACGTATACACGAGAGCTACTCCTAGTATTGCGGTCGCAACGTGTAGGCGCCTTGCCTCTATGCGTCGAGAGAGTAGCTAAAGAGCTTCAACAAGGCTAGTACCCTGCATTCTGAATTTGTAACTTCATATGATGTTGTCGTGACTTAGTATAATGATTATATCTATAGTATAATATGTCTTTCGGCGCTTATTTTTATGTATTCGGGACCTCTGCTAACAATGTGTAGTTAGTCAGGTGTTGACTAGACTTACTAACACACAAAGGTAGTATACAGCCCGGTCTATTATCAAAAACACCATTACTAACCTTGAATAGGAGTGCATTACTAACACCGAATAGGAGTGCATTACTAACCTTGAATAGGAGTGTTTTAACGACGGCGGAATATTTAGACCAGAAATCGATCTCGGGAAGCTGGAAGGCGTAATAGAGGCAGGGTTTAAGTCATTTCTGACCGAGACGAAGTTCAATGTCTCCAAGGAACGAGAACCGAGCTCCTCTAGCAGATAGTGGAATAGACTGTCTCGCTGTGTCAGAAAAGTATTTTCTGGTTGAACGGAATAGCTAGGACCGGAAAATCCACAATATCTCGGACCGTAGCGAAATTGCTCCAGGACACTGACTAGCTAGATACAAGTTTCTTTTTTAAAAGGGGCGAGGGCCAGGCTGAAATCGAGATAGAGTCTCGGTCTATCTCAAACGGCAAATCAACAAGAAGGACATTTTGCAATAATCAGTATGATACTCTAAGTACTAGTGCGGCCTTCTGTTGTGTATAGCATATAGTGACTATAGAACTTAACGGGTGCCTTAAATTACCAGGACCCGACCCTTCTACAAGATTCCATGAAAAGTACTGTCATCCATACATAGGGTTAAATTGTCAGGAACATGTCGTCAGTGGCTAGCAATTGCCATATATACTTCATTTGACACCCATATACGTAGGTTATTTTGACTGAATCTCTGCTTCAGCAACTTATTCCGCTAAGGATAGTATAGTTGTTTCTTTTATTACTCCGTAAACTCGTCTACGACATATAGCATAATAACTAGAACAAAGCATATCAGAGCCGGGATAGATATAAACACACTGCAACTCTTTTCGTACTAGGATATCTCGCACGCACATTAACTAGGCAACCCTGTTGCTTGTTATAATTTCCAGAGCTCTCTCTTCCTCCCACATAAACCCTACAGCATTATCACTAGATCTGCATCAAGCTAGAGCACGCAGAGCAATAATACTAAACATACCCACCTTATTCTAAGCGACCGTCTTAGTCCCATTACAGGCCAACTAATACAGCTCCTGGATAGGTCCAGTAGCACCGTAAGGAAAATTCTGCTCGATATTGAGCCGCACGATCTAAAACCAATGCGCAACCTGCGCGGCAGAGGGCAACTAGCGAAAGTCCTGCAGGATAAGCCCGTTCCGCAGCAGAACGCGGAGATAGTAGTCGATAGTCTTCCTGTTGCCGCAGGCGAGCCGGTCGACCTTGTCGGGGATATAAGACTGGTACGTGGCGAGGTTGTTCGTTTTGTATAGTTGGTCGGAGATGAGCAGGATACTACTAGGGGCGAGGCGCTGGACGACCTGGGCTACGGATTGTTCGAACACTTCTGGGAGGAAATAAGTATAGACACCGCGGACGACGACGAGATCGTAGGGGACTTCCGGGTCAGGAAGCAGATCAATATCCTAGCCGTTGCAGAGGTAGAGGTGGACGCAGGCGGCCAGATCGGCGGGGATAGTGTCGGCGAAGTAGTCCAGCTGGCGCTGGCTGATGTTGATGGCGTCGATACGCGGGCAGTCTAGGAATGTCCTCGCCAGATGCTCGGTGATCGAGCCCCAGCCACAGCCCAGATCCAGGATACGCTTGAATTAGGTCTGTCGATCCGCCGCTGATTGCGACAGTCCCGCTAGCTCCAGCTACCGGTTAAAATGTCGGATCTCAGAAGGCCTAATCGGTCCGGGACTGGCGCTAGCGGTCAGTTCTGTTGCATTAAACAGGCCGAATTAGAAGCCGAAGCCCTTGCTTCCTAGCGCTTTCTCCCACAACTCCGGCGGGTCGTCGTAAGTCCTCACCACCTTGTCCTGATATAGGTCTGAGCGGTGGCTTCTGATCACCTGAATTTTGCGGGCAGTCATAGTGGATGGATATAGGGATTTCGGCTTTAGGGCTAGAGAAATTGTCAATTCGTATTGCTCCTTGTTAGTAATAAAAGAAGATAATGAGGAGGATAGTCATATCGCTTTCCGTAGAGAGACCACTGCATAAAATGTCCTTCGATAAATAGATAAAATAGCTCTAAGTGACAAACCTCCTCTCTACACCGCTAGTTACCCTTTTCTGATCTATAACATTCAAGTCAATCCCGATCTGCGGAAGAAAAGGGCGGATTTATGTATGTCCAGCTGCGCCGGGCGTGGTGATATCCTCCGCGTGATTCCGATGAAGATCGGGGATAATCTGAAATGCTCGCGAGAGATAGCTATTGCAGATGGAGAGTGGAGACCTGACCTTCACGAAGCAATGGATGATCATTCTGCCAGCTAGCTAGCGACGCATCTTGGGTTGTCCCCGACTCTCTTGAGAAATCGGAGCGCCGGCCTTGCATTTTTCTATTTTATGCACTTTTTCTTTCTTGGTTTGGATTAATGACTGGATATCTTAAAAGAAACTTTAAAGTCTCTATAGTCGAATTATGTTGTGGTTTTGTCTTGTCTGCGTGGTATATCCCTATTACTCTACTGTAAGACTAAAGGATATCGGGAGATTTCTGGAGAAATCAGCTTGGAATCTATATCAAAACTCGTCCTACTCAACATCCAATTGTCTCCTTAATAAAGAATCCAGAAGACAGCTGTAAACGGACGTACAAGCGAAGATACTCCGGTTAGTGTATATTCAATAGCGTTACGGCCGTTAGTTCTTCAAACACCTACGCTTAAAATAGAAATCCATTCCTAGCACTCTTATATTACAATATCTACCTTAAACCCTAACCGGTTGATCTAATCCTTCTAAGGAATATAGGGAAGAAGTATACGAATCCCCGATCTAACCTAACCGTCTATAGACTTCAACCCGATTATATCCTCTATACTCTCGTCTCTAGCCCTTAGAAGCGGGATCCTATGATAAGTCTCTAACGACCGCTAGCCGACTATTTTCTGCGCTAGGGGTGTTATACCCTCAATAATCTCTCGGGGCATATAATGATGCGACTCTATAGGGGTCATCGCCGCGGGATGTATAGAGATAAATAAGCCGCGCCGATACTCCGTGGAGCGATTCTCGCCCGCGCTATAATAAAGCCCGCCTACAAACACTATCGCCTCGCCGGGCCGGAGCAGCATAGGGACCGCCTAGTCAGGCTCGGGACGCTGCGCAGCCTTATCCCAGAGATAACTGCGCGGCACGACGCGGGTGGCGCTGTTATCGTCGCGGAACTCGGTCAGGGCCACAATAATATTCACTATTAACTCGGGGTTAGTCGACAGGTAACGCCGCAGTTTACTGACGTAGTACAGCCGGTCGTCCTTGTGGATACCCTACGCCTGCTCGCCTAGCTCTAGATGCAGCACAGACCCGCGGTTTATCCAGTAGTCACCGAACTCGCCGCGGAATATGCCCTCGAACACACCGTGTATCTAACCGTGGTTAAGGATCTTTTGGCGGAAGGTCGGCGAGGTTAAGACTAGGTTAGCGACTTGTTTAGTCTTGGAGCCTATAAGCCGTTAGTAGATCGAGCTACTGGCGTTAGGGCCAGCGCGGAACTAGTCGATGCTCGGCTCGACTTCTGCCTGGAATCGGCGGACCACGTCCCTATCCAGGAACCCTTACACTTGTATAACGCCGTCTTGTTTGAGGAGGCGGACGGCTTCGTCCGGCGAGGTTATCAAGTCAATTGTCTGCTAAGTGCATTGGTGGATATCGGAGGAATTAGTTATAGTGTTTTTTTTTTTTTGTTTCTAGTTTTGCGGAGACTATAGTAAGAAGAAGAGAGACGCTTTAATTTGAATATCAACCCGGATAGTAGAACGGAAGTTGAGCCTTCTATTTCTTTTTTAGTTTAATCTGTTCTCTACACACCTGATCTACTTTCGTGTCTAGAATCAGAGTGATATCTACTTAGCTTCTCCCGCTCCCGCCCCTAGCCCTATACTCCGGCTAAACTCACCGCTATTTAACGGTCTAATCCTGAATACTAAAGTATGTGAGCTATCTTCTATAGTCGGACCTATCTAATATGTCTAGGAAATACAGATTTTGGACGTGGCTATTCTATTAGCTAGCCTCCTCTATAGATCTGCGACCGGGAATTTCCGGTAGTATAGCAATCTAAAAGGAGAAAAAGAAAGAGTTTATAATATCCTAACACAATTCTAACCGAGAATTAAAAGAGAATTAGATATAAAAGGGGTACGTCTGCTAATATATCTATACTGTTCTGAGCAGATCTCTGTGACTTTTTTTACTAGGAACGCTCTAGAAGAGAACGATCCTACGAGGCAAAACTAGAAGGTCCCACTCTAAGACTAGATCGTTGTTTTTCCGTAGCCAAAAGCCTATCATCAATAAGGTTTACGGTAGGGGTAATCGCAGTAGTTTATGTAGCCGGGGATGCAACCCTTACGGCACCTACGGTGAGTCCCCTACCAATAGTTATTTAAGGCGGATATCTACTAGCCGAAATGACCCCAACACTTTTGTTTGATAAAGCACGAATAACGATATAGAAACGACTCCGGCTTAGGTAGGAGGACTGTTCAACCTCCGTGACCTAGGAGGCTACTAGACAACTAGTGACGCAAGTGTGCGGCGCAAGTTCATCTACCAGTGCGGGAATCTCCACTACATCAACACCACCGGGTAGGAGATACTACAGGAGATAGGAGTGTCGGTGATTATCGACTTCACTAGCGCCGGTGAATCCAGGATATTCTCGGGCGCCGCTGTAGAGCCCGAGGTCCTAGACTAGGTGCAAGTGATTCGTATCCCGTTCAGTAACAGGCCGCTGTATCTTAACAGAGAGACCGAGAAATACAAGAGCTACCGTGATGCAGGCAATCTCGTCTGTTCTCTCTTCCTCTACCTTGCTCGTGTATAGATACGAAAAAAATCCGTGATCTGACTGTCTTCCTTCCAGGCGATTGCGGAACAGTACCTCAAGACCCTGCAAATTAAGCCCGGCGTTATTCGACAAGTGCTACTCTGCATTCTTGCCTATCAGCAGTCGACGATCCTGATCTACTGCGTGCTCGGAAAGGACCGTATAGGGATCATCAGTGCGCTCTTGCTGTCCCTCGCCGGCGTGCCGGATCATGTTGTTGCCACCGAGTATAGTTACAGTGGGCCGTGTTTGGAGCATCTACGGCTAAGAATTATCTAGTTAGCGCTGGCAACCGACCCTGATGTAAGGGATATTGTAGGGCTAGCGACGTTTTCAATTCAGTGCAAGTAAGATGCTCCCTTATAAAGAGGAAGCTTGCGGGATAGAAAACTGACCGGCCTTAAGCGGGGAGATCATAGGATCGACATTGGATTTGGTTAAAGAGCACTTCGGGGGTGTCTATGAATATGTCAGGGACTATTGCTATCTGTCGGCTAAGACCATTGATAAGATCAAGGCAGCGCTTCTGACGTATCCCGAGCGCTGAATGTCCGACTCTAGAAGGTAGTATTAGCTATCGGGGAGTTTCATAAATCGTTTGAGTCTGATTAAAGAGCTTCTAGCGCATCTAATAAATAGAAAAGGGGGGGAAAAGATCTAACATAACTTATACCAATCGTTGAATTGCTCACTACGACACCCTCGAGTCTCAATAATTTCGGTGACTTCCGCCTAATAAGCTTTAGTTCGGCGGAAAACCTAAGACTGTTCGTATTAGATTAGATCTAGAGGTAATCAATGAATCAATCAATCTATCCTAGGATAACTAGTAGTTACTCCGGGTACTTTACCTAGAGTTCCAGGACTAATATAGCACCTAGGAGGGGTGGTATATATTCGTAGAGACAGACTTTGGTACTCCTGGGAAGCTAACCCGCGATCCTGAGAGGTTATAAAGAGGACACGCCTATATATAACCTTCACGTTTACCTTTACCCTATAACTAATCAGCCCTATCTAGCAGAACAGCAGCTTTGTACCTGGAATATAAAATCTTTTGTAGTATTTAAGGTAAGGAGATTAAGTTTAAAATGTGCAACGGCTATTTTCTGCTTGAGTACTGAGTTCACGAAGCTAAACGACTAATAGTTTTCTCAGTTTACCTAACGCTATGTCCGATGCGGTTCTGACTGGCTTAACTGGATCAACTAGAGTTAGTTCTATTGTTGTCGACGTAGATAACGAGCAAAAGCCAGAGGAAGATAACTCGGAAGCCGATACAGTTCGCATAAGTACTCCAGATTACGAAAGATAGGCCAGCGAAAATTGTCGCACTAAATCACAGAATTTGTTCCTTGCGGAATCTACTCCGGCTTCAACATTTCTGAAGTACCGCAGCTGCTAGCAATTTGACTATACTCAAATTGCTCAATCAGGTTCTCCTATAGCGGGAGAAGAGTTAAACGAGACAGGAGATTTCAAGAAGGGTACGTGAACGATTTCTAGGTCATCACTGAGAGGGATCCTTACCAACACAATGTTATTCTAAGTACGCAGAAGATTTAGATTTGAAATTGACTTCAGATGCATTATGTACTGTACAGCGTATATCCAAGCTGGCCGCTTTTCACCGAGTCTATCTGTCAATATGACCAAATCGGCCATAGAGGCCAACATAAAATCCTCGTATTCAAACAT